TGGCGACTAATGTGAGCATGGCAGTGCTCGAGGAAGGAACAGGGAGGAAGAAGGAAGGTCTAGATAACCAGTCGGAGCCCGCGGCGGCGAGATGCGCGGTTGCGCGCTCCGGGTCGCTTGCGATGGATTACCAGCTCACCACCTCGCCTTCTCTGTCGCTCTCCTGGCCTAGCCCATCAGTAGCAACCCTGAGCTGTCCCAGACCGCACTTATCTCGGGTCTTCAAGCTCGCACCGGCTCGTGATGCTCCGGTGTAGGGCTCGAGAGCACTCCCGGTGGCCGGTGACCCCGTGCCGAGCGATTGCGAGGGCTTTCCGGAGGTCAATATCGGCGCCACCGACCGTGAAATGTCCCGACCCACAGCCCTCATGCACCAGACGCATGGATGCAGTAATACTATGTAGGCCTTCTCTCCCAGGGTTTTGAGCAATAGCCGCCAAAGGTGCTTTTTGGCAGTTCATCGCGACACGTCGAGGTGCCGACAAAGCGGCTTCCCAGCTCATCACCTCGCCTTCTCTGTCGCTCTCCTGGCCCAGGCCCATCAGTATCAAGCCTGAGCTGTCCCAAACCGTCCTTATCTTGGGTGATGAAGCCCACTCTGGCTCATACCAGGGCTCTTACGGCCTCACACACGCCTGTTTCACCCACAGACACCGCAGGCACGCACTCCCACTTCACACATGCTCAAGCACAACCCCACCAAAGCACAGCCCTGATCAGAATGGGCAAGGGCTACCACTTGGTGGCCCTGGTAGCCTCTGGATCGTCACTGCACTCGGCTCCTCTGCAGCGGTCTCGGCTCTCGCCACGACAGCACGCCGACGGCAAGCTTTGAGGTCCGTCTGGTGGACCTGCTGTTGCCACAGCCGCCCCTCTCATGCAGCTCGCACCAGAGCTCGACACTGGGCCCTCTTATCCCGGTCGTGGCGGCGTGTGTGAAGGTTGCGCGGCCGAGCCGCTGGCTGGCGCCGCTTGAACGTCCGAGATGGCCGCCAGTGTGCGGCATCAGCCCCGCTGCTTCCGGCACGAACGGGTGGGGTGGCGTGGGAGCGCCGGTGACGTTTGGCTGCTCCTCGGCGCTCGTACGTGGAGAACGAGCGGTTGTCCGCACCTGTTGTCCGCAGCTGTCCGCACCTGTTGCCACCACCTGCCAAACAGCGCCTATTTGGCGACCACACACCAGGCAAACCCCGCAAAGTGACCCGTTTTCACCCACCCACGCCCGTGCGCGCGTATCTTAGCTAAGGTACGCGGCCACACGCGCTGGCGCGCACGACAACCGGGACTTACACGCGCGACACGAGGGACTGTGTATCCGTGCCTGCCTCGGGGGAGAATAGCCGCCCTCACCCGCTGCCGCGCATCGAGCTCGGCGGGGCTGATACGTGTCATTCTGTGCCGGCGCGTATCTTAGCCAAGATACGCGGCCACACGTGCAGACGCGTATAGCGGTACTCGCGCCCACACGTGCAGCCGCCTATCTTGGCCAACATAGGCGGCTGCACTCGCAGCCGTCAACCGCGTGCATACACGCCCACGC